GGGACTAGAGACTGAGGCAGAGAATATGAGTCAAGATAGGTGTAGGATAGAAGAAGGTCCTGATGCAATAATTAGTTTTTTTTTATACCCCCAACAATGGAGTATGCGTATGTTTTCTATATGTGAGGGTGTGAGTTCATGTGCTCTAGATTGTGCCCAAGAGGAATAAAGTTGGGCTATTATAATGAAATTAAAAGAGGAAGATGAGATACATAGTTAATAATATATGATTTATGTTAAGAAGCTTAAAGTATTGGCTATCATTAACTATTCTCTCTAATAGATGAAAAGATAACTGCTTTATTCCATCCTCTGCTAAAATATATAATAATCAGTTCTAGATGACTTCTCAATTATTTGCTTGACTATTTCTAGAAATTGCACCTCCATGTGCCAAAAAAAGTTAAGAATGATATCCCTTACTTTTTGTAAAGTTGTAATAGGGATTAAATGAGTAAACATGTACAAGTGCTTAAATGAGTACTTAATTTACACAGTAAATTCTATATAGATACTCTGAAAACAAACTGTTTTCAAATTAGAGAGATGGAGGATTGACTCTACCTACTAAGTAGTGGTTTCCATAGTTATTTTTGAAACCTAAGCCAAAGCATTTGGATGTTGTCTTACCCCTTATAAACAGGGAACTATGCTGTGTTAATTTAGCAAGACAGAAATTTATGTACATTTTTCTTTACTCTAGAGAGATTTTGTCCTTTACACAAATAAGAAGTAGCTTCTCTTCAGATAAATAATAACTTTCCGATAAGAAAATTAAATAATCTCCATTCTACAGATAAATCTGAAAATGTAGGTTTAATTTAGTTGACTTTATTAGGGTAACCACTCTCTAATGAATTGTGAATGCATTATGAATTGTGGACTAGTCCCTACTCCAATCATTTTCCTCCTTAGTTACATATGTCACATATCTTCTTTAAGAACTTGTATGGTGTTGGCTTCACATTCTTCTTTTTTACTTTTTGCTTTTTTGGGGGGGTCACACCCAATGATGCTCAGGGGCTACTACTGGCTCTGCGCTCAGGAATTACTCCTGGTGGTGCTTGGGGGACCATATGTGATGCAGGAGATGGAACCAGGGTTGGTCACATGAAAGGCAAACATCCTACCCACTATACAATTACTCCAGTCCTGACATTCTTTTTTGGGGGGGGGTCTTCATTTTTTATTGAATCACCATGATATACACAGTTACAAAGTTGTTCATGATCCAGTCTCAGTCGTACAATGTCCCAATACCCATGCCTTCTCCAGTAACCAGTTTCCCTTCTGCCTGCCTCCTCCACTTGCCCCCCCCACCACATCCTACCTCAGACACTTTTCTTCTATGTCAGTTTCTCTCTCTCTCTCTCCCCCTCTCTTATTTTTCTTTTAGGCACCATGCTTGTTATTTGCAATACTGTTACTGAAATGGTATCACGCATATCACTTTACCTTCTTTCAGCACTCAGTTTGTGTCCAGAGTGATTATTTCCAGCCATCCTACTCATAGTGGTCTCTTCTCTGTCCTAAATGCTCCTGCATTTGGTGGCAAGCTTCCTACCATGGACCAGTCATTTGTACCCTTGTTTCTACTGTCTTTGGGTATTATTAACATACTATGTTTTTTTTTAAAAAATCCTGCAAATGGGTGCAATCATTCTATGTTTGTCCCTCTCCCTCTGACTCATTTTACTCAGCATGATGCTCTCTCCATTTTCATCCATGTTATTACTTCATTTTATCCTAACAGCTGCATAGTGTTCCATTGTGTAGATGGGCCATAGTTTCTTTATCCAATCATCTGTTCTTGGGCACTTGGGTTGTTTCCAGATTCTGACTACTGTAAACAGTGCTGAAATGAACATAGGAGTGCAGTTTTCTTTTCTGTGTTGTCTTTTTGGGCCACTAGATTATATTCCCAGGAGCAGTATTGCTGGGTCATATGGAAGTTCAATTTCTAGGTTTTTTGAGAAATATCATTATTGTTTTTCAGAAAGGCTAGACCTTCTAGCCTTGACCTTCTAGCTTGACCTTCTTGATGACACTAACAAATATAAACAATTTGAGACAAATCTCAAAATCTCTGCCAATTATTAGAAAATAGACATGAGTCTGCCTGTCTTAGAGAGAGATGGCTATCAGAGAATCAAGATCATCAGGTTCTGGTGTTTCAGGCTTCAGGTTTTATCAGTTTGTCAGTTTTGATAATAGGAAATACATAAGGTTTTCTCTTTTGTCTATCATAAGTCATAGCTATTCTCTAGGGGTTCCCTATGTGAAGTCAATTTTCTTTATTAAGGAATGAATTGCACACTAAAATATTTTAAAATCTGAGCCTTCACTGTTTATTGGAGTGGTGTTAAAATTATATCCATGAGAAAACATTATTAATAGTATTGTAAAGAAAAAATAAAACTTAAAAAATATTAGAAAAACATTTTAATTAATAAAATGAGCCTTTAATTGGGAGTTAAAATATGTACATGTACACATAAATGTATACACAAGTGTATATCCAAGATAATTGAAATATATGTACCTGAATTCATAGAAATGTACCCAAGATAATAAAAAACACATGTCCATAGAGACAGGGCCAGGAATATTGCTCCATGTTTGGTAGGCTGCCTCATGAGCTGGGGGAGAAGGCAGCTGGAATAGAGAAGGGATCACTGAGTCAATGATGGTTGGAGGGACAGTTTAGGATAGGAGATGTATGCTGAAAGTAGATAAAGGACCAAACTTGATAGCCTTTCAGTATCTGTAATGCAAATCATAATGACCAAAAGTAGAGAGAGAGTATGGGGGAAATTGTCATAGAGGCAGGGGGAGGGTTGGGATGGGGGATACTGGGGACATTGATGGTGGAAAATGTGCACTGGTGGAGGGATGGGTGTTTGATCATTGTATGACTGAAACTCAAACACGAAAGCTTTGTAACTGTGCTCATGGTGATTTGATAAAAAAACACATGTCCACATAGAAATTTGAATATAAAAACATGTATATAACAAGTGGTACAATATGGAAAGTATCATGCTAAGCGAAATGAGTCAGAAAGAGAGGGATAGACATAGAAAGATTGCATTCATCTGGGGGATATAAAGTAACAAAGTATGAGATTAATACCCAAGAATAGCTGAGATCAGCACCAGGAGGATTACTCCATAACTTAGAGGCTAGCCGGGTATCCTAGAGGAAAGGGCAGTTCAGATAGAGAAGGGAGCACCAAATAAAGGATGTTTGGAGCATCCTCCCAGGAAGGGAGATGCATGTCGAAAGTAGACTATGGACTGAACATGTTTGCCACTCAATGCCTCTTTTGCAGACCACAACACCCAAAAGGAGAGAGAGAACACAGGGGATTGCCCTGCCACAGAGACAGGGGGGATGGGGGGATGGGGGTGGGAGGGATATTATCCATGGTGGTGGAAAATGGGCACTGGTGGAGGGATGGGTATCTGATCATTGTATAATTGAAACCAAAGCACAAAAAATTGTAAATCTACAACTTTAAAAAAAATAAAATAAAATAAAGGGGAAAAAAACATGTATATAAATGCTTATATAGCAGCATTACTCATAAGCATTATTCATAGAAACAATTTAAATGTCCATCAAGTGATGAATGTGTAAACAACATGCAGCAAAATCCATGCAATGTAATGTTATTTAGCTCCCCAAAGTGATAAGGTGCTGATATATACTACAACATATAAACCTTGAAGAAATTATGTAAAATATGCTTTCTACTTAGGCACTTTTAATATGTATATTATTTTTGGTGCAGAGAACACACTTGGCAGTGATCCCAGGTTACCTGTTTCTAAGCTCAGAGGACTTTAGGTTGCTGGGAATCAATAGGATAGAACTTGAATATCCTGCATACAAAGGGCACACTCAGGATGTCAAGCTTTCTGGCCAGACCATACTTGTTTTTTTCCTTTTTGGTCACACCCAGCAATGCTCAGGGGCTACTCCAGGCACTGCACTCAGGAATTACTCCTGGTGTTGCTCTGGGGATCTTTTGGGATGCCAGGGATCTAACCCAGGTAAGCCACATGCAATGCAAACAACATACCCACTGTACTATTGCTGCAGCCCCAGGCCATATACTTTAAATCACTTGAGAAACCTGTGAAGTTCATTGGAAATGAGGGAGGCATCTGGATGTATGTTTGAAATCAGTTGGACCAGATGATATCTAGAATATCTTATAGCTTTAGGAACTGTATAAAATGTATAAGAGTGGATCACCAATATTTATTTTTTAAAAATAGAAATAGTAATAAAACCAAGCCAAAAAATAGGTGTTACTTAGAACAGGTACTTCCTGAAATCTAATTTGGTTTTTAATGCATAGACTTCCACCCAAGGTTAAATATATACATGCATGTTGATTTTCAGTGATGCACTCAAAAACCTATATAATGTTCTAAGTCAATGTTACTTCAGTAACAAAAGGTAAAGGTAAAGGTAAAGGCCCTCCCGTTGATCGTCGATTTGCTCGAGCGGGCCCAGTAACATCTCCATTGGAGACTTTGTTGCTACTGTGTCTGGCATATCGAATACTCTCGGTAGCTTGCCGGGCTCTCCGAGAGGGGCGGAGGAATCGAACTCGGGTCGGCCATGTTGGCCGCTTGTAAGGCGAACACCCTACCCGCTGTGCTATCGGTAACAAAAAAAAAATGTATTCCTAATAGGGATGAATTATGGCTAAAGAGGTAAGTCACATATGATGTCATAGTGCCTGTGTAGTTTGCTTTATCAATAATGACCCCGTTTCTCAGAAACTAGCTGGCTGTTAGGGTTAAGGAAAAACAGTGCCTTCCACTAAGAGATTAATAGATAAAGCTGTACATAATGAAATAATTTTGACAGTTCCGGGTTTTCTTTATCAGTACTTTTGTAGTTATAAGCTAACTAAGGTTCATTGTTAATAATGGAGTAAATTTCTTACGTATTTGCTTTCCATGACATTAAATAACAGGCAAATCATGTTCCGGCTACTAGCTGCCTGCTGGTCTCGGCTTAAGACAACTGAAGGGACACGAAGGTAGTATTACAATAATTTCTCTAAACCTATTTTACTATTTCCTGCAACATATCTGCCTGCAGTTTGTCAAGGGACAGATATTTATAATATATGTTGTTGGATAAAGTGATTTAGCAGTAGCTGCAATACAGGGGCACAGAGCTGAGGAAATATTGTCAATTCAAGTGGGAAATGTATACTGGTAAAGGGATGGGTGTTGAAACACTGTATGACTGAAGCCCAAACAAGAACAACTTTGTAACTGTGTATCTAATGGCGATTCAATAAAAAATATAAAAAGTGAAAAAAGGAAAGTAAGAAAAACACAATTCAGGACTTTTGGGAGGGATTCCACACCACCTTCTGCCACTTTGGTCATGTCCTTTTGTTTTTGTTTTGTTTTGGGGCCACACCTGGTGGTGCTCAGGAGTTAACCCTGGCTCTACATTCAGGGATCACTCCTGGAGGTGCTCAAGGAACCACATGGGATGCTGGGGATGGAACCCCAGTTGGCTTTATGCAAGGCAAGTGTCCTACCCCATTCCAGTCCCAGTCATGCATTTTATGCACAGTCATAAGTACTACTGTAGACAGAGTCCAAACATCAAGGGAGGGTACTCTAATTTTAACCTAAGAATTAACAGTGTTTTGAACGCTTTGGCTTATTTTTCTTTTCCTTTTCAGAAACGTGAACATCATTACCGTTGGATTGGACAACGCTGGTAAAACTGTTATTGTTGAGGCCTTCCAAAGATGTAAGGAAATTAGAAACTGGCTTAGGTCTTTTATAGGACCCAAGGACCAAAGAACTACAGAAAAAATAATTTTACCCTAGCTTTACTTTATGACCCTCAGGTTTCTTCTTTTGATGATAAATACTACCCAACACATACACGTATACTCCCCCTATTATGCTGTCAGACATGTCTGTCACCTTGTCCCTTTATGAGCTACCCTAATTAAACTTTCTCTCAGTGTCAGAGTGGGTGAGCTTGATCTATGCAAAGCATTACAGTAAATTATGAAGGATATCATGGTTGAAACAGTCTCTAGTTTCAGGTAGAGCTTAATTAAAGCAAAATTTGGTTTAGAAAAGAAACACGTGTGGAATGATGAATTAGTTTAATAGTATCAAACCCATCTGACAGTTAATATAGAGGGTTGGGGTTTGAGAAATGTCACTACAGAGACAGGCAAGCTTAATACCAGATCTCTAATTTAATACCTTGACATATCAAGAAGCGGTTAGATGGAATTGCAGGAGGCTATTCTTGTTATGAAGACCCAGCTGAGACTGTAGCCAATCAATCAAAGATGCCCATTACCCATGCTTATTAAATAAAAGAAAGTGGTTTGATGATATGGCAAGATTTTACATAACCTGGCAGCCTTCAGAAAAATACAGGAAAGAGCTAACCTGACTCCTCTGCCACTGACCAACCTGAAGTCCATATCAGTTGCTTTGAATTAGAGCTTGAATTGGTGGCTGGTTTCTCTACAATCTCTAATTGTCTGTGTGCTGCCTCTCCCCCTGCACAGAACATACAGTTGCTTAGCAGATTTTTACGGAAAAATCTTATCGTGGCATTTCCCTGCTTAAAATTATTTACTTTCTCCTCGTGGTCAGTAAGATAAAACTTTAGTTTCGTAGCAGAAAACAAATTTGGCTCCTGACTTCTCCAGCTTATTTTCGTGCTCTTAACATAAACCCCCACCAAGAGAGTCAAAATAAGAAATTTGTCATACCTTTGCCTTTATACCATTTTAGTTGATATACATACACCTTCTGTAGAGGTGGTCTACAACCTAGCATATTTGGTCAATCAATACTTACCTGCTTGACCAAAAACCTTGAGGGCTAGCCTAAATATGACCTCAGCAAAGTCTTCCTTAATTCTCTGTACACCTCCTTCCTTTGTTGCCACTGTGTCTACTTCCAACGTGCACTCATCACATCATTGCACAATACAAGTCCATTCCCCTACATTCAATTTCTCCCTCCTCCTTTCTCACCCTCCACCATGGGAACCCAGAGCACCACAATCTGATCAATGGACCAGCCTAATGTGTCACCTTACATTAAAGGCAGAAAACTTAACTCATTGCTTCTTCCACTGCTCTGTTATCTGTAAATGGCAAAAAGGTAAACAGCAACAGGACAGTCAAGGAGCCAGGAAATATTTACAAAATTACCGCAATCATTTTCAGAAACCCAACCTAGCCCTACCCCTAAATTCCCATCCACTAGGTAAGGCCTAGGTATCTATAGCTGCTGAATTAAGGTATTTCTGATAACCAGCCAGCTTTGGTAAGCACGTAGCTTACAAAATGATATACTTAGCCAAATGATATTTTGACTCTGAGAATAGTGTCTGATTTCCTAACTCTTAGAGGATAGAGCCTGGTGTCTGGTCAACCTGTTACTGCATTACTTGGCTTTGTGAATGACTTGGGACTGAGTCATAAACCAATAGACTTATGATTATAATTTCATCCATAGCAAATTATTTAATGTTCAGGAAGAAAAATATCACATTCTAAAGAGTATCTCAAGCCATCTCATGAATGACCACCAGGGCAACAATAGAAATTTCATGTTTACCTTATAACCAAAAAGGAATAGCTCATCCCCTCATCCCCATACCTAAAATGTTTATAATTATCCAGAACAGATAATTGCCTAAATAGGGAATTCCAATCTACAAGTAGTAACTTGTGTGAACAATTGAAGACACTATAAAATATTTGAGGAGACAGGTCATTATTACCTATGACATCATTCACCATTATGACAGGCATGACCACTAGAGCATAAGCAGCTGCCATAAATGATGGCATTTAGCACAATACTTCTTAAATCTGGTTTAAATTTCAGTGGGGTTTTTTTGTTATTGTTTTGGGCCACACCTTGCAATGCTCAAGGGTTACTCCTGGCTCTGCACTCAGGAATTACGTGGGAAGATTTTTTAAAAACATTTTTTGTTTGGTTGATTTTTTGCCACACTCAGATGCTCACTCCTAGGGGGCTCAGGGGGTGATACAGGGTGCTGGGTATCAAACCTTCATTGTCTACCTGGAAGGCAAGCGTCCTACCCACTGTGTTATCACTTCAGTCCCTAAAATTTCAGTGAAGATGTCACTTACATCAGGTATGAGCCAAAAAAAATTAAAGGTTCACATGTGATCCTGGAGAACAGTGGGAACAAAGAGTCCAAATTTGAATTACCTTGGGAGTTTTCTTTCATACTTACTGACCCAAGACCTGGAGGCACAAACACTTTCATTTGAGGAGGGTCAGCATAATTGAAATGTTAACAAGCTCACCAAATGATTTTAAGAGACAATAGGCTTCAAGATTTTGTAACCTGTGGAAGCTTGTTAAAACCTGCAAATGCTTGGACTTCAAGCCTAAAAATTCTGATTCATTGGGTCTAGGTAGTACTTAGCTACTCCAGTGTAGCTAAAGCAGATTGTTCCCAGTCAGTGTTCTATGAAGTGTGATGCCAGAGATACAAAGATAATTAGACTAAGTCCTGTCCTCAGGGAGTTAATAAACAGAGGAAGTCAGAGAAATATAAATTGCCATGGGACATCTCCTGGCTTCTGGGTTTTACCAACAGTGCATTGCATTATTAAAGGAATTGCTCAGGTATCACGAAAAAGAAAAACAAGCTGGTGAAAATGTTTTACTCTGACAGGGAAAAAAGGATAAATCTTGCTTCAAAGTAGGAAACAAGATTTAGAAATTTCTTTTGAAATCTTAACCTATTTGCTTACTAGTTTTAAATAGCCTTATACAAACCAAGTAAATATCATATCAATGTTGTGATTTTAATTGTTATCTGAAACTATAAATAAGAATAATTGACTAACATGTAAAGAAAATTTCTAAAATAATATTAAAACATAATGATAATATGTACATTCTCACACATACGTGTTTATAATCATATGTTTCCAAATATATGAAGCTACCCTACTAGCTTCTCAGCTAAATAACTTATTCTGGAAATCCTATAGAAATGTTACAGGTAGACATGAAACTATAAGTAAGAAGCTACTGATTCTGCTCTTAAACCTCCTTGGGATATATATTGAATCTAAAAAATTAGTCTGCTACTAATGTGGGCACATTGTCTTTATGCATTCGTTAATCCCCTATTATGTTTCTTTATATCCTGTAGATGAATGATATCATTCGGTGTCTGTACCTCTCGCTCTGACTCATTTTGCTCAGTATGAAACTCTCCAGAGTCATCTATATAGCAGAAAATTTCATGATTTTGTCATTTTTAACAGTCTTTCAGTATTTCATTGTGTATATGTACCAAAGTTTTTTTTTTTCTGGTCATCTTTTCTTGGGCAGTCGGGTTGTTTCTAAATTTTGGCTATTGTGAATAGTGCTACAATGAACAAAGGAGTCCAGATGTCTTCTCTGAATTGTCTTTTTGGATACTTAGGGTATATTCCCAGAAGTGGAATTGCTGGGTTCTATGGAAGATCATTTCCTACTTTTTTGAGGAATGTCTATATTGTTTCCCAAAAGGCCTTGACTAGTTATCATTCCCACCAGCATTGAATGAGCATCCCGTTTTCCTTCATATCCACTCCAACACTGGTTGTTGCTCTTTGCGATGAGTACCAGTCTCTTTGGTGTGAGCTGATGTTTTGATTTTCGTTTTCCTGATAATTCGTGATATAGAGCACTTTTCCATATGCCTTGTGGCCATTTGTATTTTTTCTTTTAGGAAGATTTTCATCTACTCCCCATTTTTTGGATGAGTTTAGATGTTTTTTCTTGTAAAGTTCTTCAGGTATTTTATATCTCTTAAATATTGTGGGCAAATAATTCCTCCCATTCTGTGGGCTGTCTTTGTATTCTGGTGTTTTTTCACTTTGAGGTGCAGAAGCTTCTTTTTAAAAGGATTTTATTTTATTATTTCAATCTTTCAAAATCTACAATTTTGTGACATTTGCTATATTTTTTGGCTGAAAACATAGCAAGTAATCTATACATTACATTTTAGAGAAATACAGAAAGTAACTATAAAACATGGTGATACTCAATAAAGACAATTTTTAGTGATCAGTATTGTGCCAAGAGCAATTTCCATCTTTCAAAATGGTCTCCATAATGTAAGATGTTAACACTGAAGCAGTCTGGTGAATGACACAACATGGGAATTCTCTCACTACTTTTTTTTATCATTGAATCACCATGAGAACAGTCACAAAGCCTTTCAGTTCAAGTCTCGGTCAGTCATACAATGATAAAACACCCGTTCCTTTACCAGTGCACATTTTCCACCACCAAGAACCCCAGTATACCTCCCTCCCACCCACCTCCCGCCTATGTGACAGATTTCCACTTTGCTTTCTCTCTGTCTATGTTGATCACAGTCAATATTAAGAAAAAATACCCAACATTGTTGTTTGGAATTTTCCCCAATATTTAGACCTGCCACAAAGACATCATTAGAAAATTTGTTTTCTGTTGCTGATTATGAAGAGCATATGATGTTGTGTGGCCACAATAGCAGCCACGTGAATTTGGATTTCTGATATTTTAGTAATAAACCTAACCTAAAGTGATTAATGCCAGAAGCCCCTGGTTTCCAAGATTGGTATGTGTGCCTCTGGGATCATTGTCGGTCATTGAGTATCATCACTGGTACTCATCTCAAGAAGCCAGAGGAGGCATTTGAAGGTGGCAACCCGGAGCAATGTCATGGCAGGGAGCAGGGCCGATTCCACCCCCATCCCATGAAGCCCCGTGTGCCTCATCAATGCAGTCTCATACCTGGCTGATCATAAGGCTCTAAAAGATGCAGGCCACCATGTCGCCACTGCAAAGGGGGACAGGTGGAGGGACAGACACCATTCCCCTCCCAGGGCAGCATAGCACCATAGTTAAATACACAGTCCAGATGTATTTCAGTTGGGCATTATCTTTTGCTCAGATTTACCCACCACCATTCAAGCCTGATTTTCAAGGCCAAATGCTAGATCATTTGCTTTCCATTGATCACTTTGCATATTGCAGTTCGGAAAACAGTCCTTGTACCCGCATACCAGAGCCATGCTTGTAGAAGCTCATGGTAACTGGGATTCCATCTGGAGAAGGCAGGGAGACAGCACCCATCTGGGACCTCCTGGTGATATTGGCTCTAAATGGGGCCCAGAGAATTCTCCGGGAACTGTGGGGCCCTCTAGCCGGTTTTTTTCTTCGCTGCTGTGTGCTGTCGAATTCTCTCACTACTTTTGAAACTATTTGCAGGTCTGTGATCATTACAAATGAATTAGTTTTTTTAAAAATTTTTATTAGTGAAACACCATGAAGTACAGTTGTAGACTTACAAAGTTTTGTGGTTGGGTTCCAGTTATACAATGATCAAGTACCCATCCCTCCACTGGTGCCGATTCTCCATCACCACTGAAGTGGCGGCCACCTTGCTGCCAGGGGGGAGAAAGGCAGAAGGGATCAACACCCTTTCCCTCCTGGGGAGGCATGGCGCTGCAGTTTAACGCATGGTCCATTCACTTTTCTGCCGCAAGCTGCCGGGTTCTGGATTAAGTCCTTTTGCCTCTGGAGCCATGGCCGTGCCAGAGAGCCGCTTGTGGGGGGCAACTCATGACCTCAGTAGGTCGTGAAGGACATACCGGTACTGCCCCCCTTCCCATGAGACTGCAGGTGCTCCATCACTGCCGGCTAATACCTGCTTTCCAATAAGCTCTGAGCTGGCGACCATCTTGTATGCAGTTCAGATGTATTTCTGCCAAAAGCCGCTGGGTTTCAAGATTTGTTTCTGAGTCTCCGGTATCGTGGCTATTAATCAGCTTGATCAGGAGCCAGAGAGGCTGTTTGTAGGCGGCAGCTCAGGGTCTCGTTGGGATGGGGAGAAAGAGTCGGCTCCACCCCCATGTGGTGAGGCCCCGTATGTCTCGTCACTTCAGGCCCAAACATGACTGTCCAGTGGCCTCTGGAGGATGGAGGTCACCAGGCCGCCAGGGGGAACAGGCCAAGGCACAAAACCCATTCCCTCCTGAAGTGGCCCAGCACCAGTAACCTACTGCAGGAACAGGACGTATTTCTGCCAAAAGCCTTTGGGTTCCAAGATTCGTTTCTGAGACTCTGGGATCATGGTCATTAAGCAGTTCAATCAGGAACCAGAGAGGCCATGCCTCCTATTATATAGCTGAGCCGGAGGTGGTTTGTGGGTGTGTCTCCCACATACCTAACTTTTGGCCGTTTACTTTCTTGGTAAACTTTGCCCCAAGTTTTTGGGGTCTGGCCAAAGGCACAGCAGCAATTTCGGTGTATCTGAAAGTCTGACATTGCCATCAGGCTGCTGATGCACTTACCTCACAGGTACAGATTGACCTTCTGGTGGTACCATACTCCCTGACATTGAGATCTTTAATCAATTTTGATTTAATTTTTGTTCATCATGTTAGAAAGAGACATCGGTTCATTCGTTTGAATGTTGCTGACCAGTTTTTTGCAACAACACTTATTTAAGAGGCTTTCCTTGGTCTAGTTAATATTTTTTCCATCATTGAATATTAACTGTCCATACACTTAGGAATCTGGATTTTCAACTCTATTCCACTAATCTCAGGGTCTATCTTTATTCTAGTACCAAACTGTTTTAATTATTACCACTTTGTAATACAATTTGAAGTTGAGAAAAGTGATACTTCCCATCCTCTTTTTTCCCCAATGATTGCTTTGGCTATTTTAGGGCATCCATAGGAATTTCAGAATTGTCTGATCTATTTATTTGAAAAAAATGTCATGGGTATCCTTATAGGGATTGCATTGAATCTGTAGAATGCTTTGGGGAGTATTGACGCACTTTTAAAAATAAGTTTTTGCACTCTAGTTTACAGTAATGTGAGGGTTTCATGTATAACACTTTACCATCTTTCAGCAATCCCCTCTTCTTCGGGTTCAACACTTCCCTCCAACATACTTGTAGTTCCCTCCTTGTCCTATTCCCCAAATCCCCTAAGTAATATTTTTCCAAAGGAAACAAAAGTTTATCTTTAATTTGCCTTTCATGCTGCTGACCCAGTTTAATCCCTTGCACCATGTATGGTTCTCTGAACTCTGAGAGGAGTGATCTCTGGGAGCAGAGCCAGGTATAAGCAAGCACTGAGCATCACTGGATGTGGACCAAAACCCCACACCAAATGTTGATATTTCAAAACAAACAAAATAACAGTGGGAGTTAGCTAAACAAAGAGTAATGGAATATTGTTCTAAACAGTTACAATGGTATCTTGTAAAGCCCTGAGCAGGTGTGCATAACATTTATGTGTCATGGTAGGGGAGGGAGGTACAAAGTGATTTAAGGAGTAAAGACAGAAAATAGGTATATATTAAGGACACTGCATACACTAATCAAGTTGTAGAGAGGCATGGCAAGATAAGACACTAGAAAGTCAATATTCTGTCTTGGAAATGGTAGGTACCTACCAAGTGTTATTGATCAATAGAGGGTAACATAGTCAGACTGCAGGTTAAAGGTAAAGGTAAAGGCCCTCCCGTTGATCGTCGATTTGCTCGAGCGGGCCCAGTAACGTCTCCATTGGAGACTTTGTTGTTACTGTGTCTGGCATATCGAATACTCTCGGTAGCTTGCCGGGCTCTCCGAGAGGGGCGGAGGAATCGAACTCGGGTCGGCCATGTTGGCCGCGTGTAAGGCGAACCCCTACCCGCTGTGCTATCGCTCCAGCCCTATAGAATATGTCTTTTTGTTGTTACTGTGTCTGGCATATCGAATACTCTCGGTAGCTTGCCGGGCTCTCCGAGAGGGGCGGAGGAATATTTATATAGAAAGGGCTGGAGCGATAGCACAGCGGGTAGGGCGTTCGCCTTACACGCGGCCAACATGGCCGACCCGAGTTCGATTCCTCCGCCCCTCTCGGAGAGCCCGGCAAGCTACCGAGAGTATTCGATATGCCAGGCTGACTCTACTTGCCATTATTCCCCTCTCGGAGAGCCCGGCAAGCTACCGAGAGTATTCGATATGCCAGACACAGTAACAACAAAAAGTCTCCAATGGAGACGTTACTGGGCCCGCTCGAGACTGCAGGTTAAGAAATATTAATCTGTGAGCATGAGAAGCAGGGAAGAATACCTCAGGATTCCTCAGGAAAGACTAGTCAATAGTCAGATAATAGGTGGACACATTTTTGTTGGTGAGATAACTATATACATCAAAACCACAAACATTAATATAATATAAACATGGTCTAAATTACAATCATTAAATAAGGAAACAGCTGGAGCGATACTATAGCAGATAAGCCATTTGCCTTACATGTGGCAGACAAACATTCCATTCCTGGCTTCCTATGTGGTCCCCCAAGCACTGGCAGTAGAAATTCCTAATTGCAGAGCCAGAAGTTACCCTGAACATTGCCATGTGTTTCCCCTAAATAAATAGAACCCCCAAATTCTTTGCTCTAATTATATTCCCCCTTAGCTGTAATAGAGAGGGGATCACTAAGAAAAAGATGGCTGGAGGAATTGGTAGGGATGGGAGATGTGTATAGAAAGTAGATAAAGGACCAAACATGATAACCTCTCAGTGTCTGTATTGCAAACCATAATGCCCAAAAGTAGAGAGAGATTATGAGGAATCATTTCTGCCATGGAGGCAGAGGGAAGGTGGGAGAGGGGTGTATACCAGGGATATTGGTGGTGGGGAATATGCACTGGTGGAGGGATGGATGTTTGATCATTGTGTGATTGTAACCCAAACATGAAAGCTTGTAACTATCTCATGGTGATTTCATAAAATTAATAAAAAAATTATATTCCCCCTTGCTTTGTCTTTTTCTCTCCTCTCTACACAGTACTACCTAATAGAGTGAAACGTTGCTTGAAATCTGGACTGGTTACACTCCTGGTGGATGAGTATGAAGTTGCCATCTATGACCTGAATGGAGACCAAAAGGGTCAAGAAATATGGCCGAACTATTATACACAAGCACACGGACTTGTTTTTGTCCTGGACTCCAGTGATTTGGGTCGCATGCAAGAAGCAAAGATCATCTTAACACGTCTGCTGTCAGATAAGAGAGTTGCAGGGAAACCTATGTTACTGTAAGAGTCTTTCTTTGAGTCAAATTTCTCATTCCTAGAGAAATGGCTTGATGTTCCTTTTATCAAGTTCAGTTAGACCACCTCTTCCCTTTAGCTGTGAGGGGGAGTAGGCCAGTCTTCTAGAAGTTGTTTTCACTTTGAGTCACAAACTGCCTGGGGTGGGACAATTTTACAAAGGTAATTATGAAGCAAGCAAAAAGGGAGTGTATTATCTGGATCTACCACTCCCATCCCTCATCTCTTCCTGAAAATTTGCCTTCCTGAATTTACTTATTTTTATGGCTTCAGCTCCTTGACACTGATGGTGGCAGAAAATTATCCTTATTTTGTATAATTGATGCCAATGGCCTCCTCGCTTGGCAAGATTGCTCAAGTTTTATAACTAGTGCTTATTCCAAGCTGGTGATTTCAGGTGGCCTGGCAATCCTCACCCACTCCCTTTCTTTGTTTTTCATTAGCACCCCAAGTCAGGCATGAACAGAGTTTGGAAGAGGATGTAAAAACTTCAAATATGTTCATATCCCTGTTAGCAAATTCTAATTCAAGACTGATGATGTAATGTAGATGAAGTGAGAAAAATGACCTAGGGATTATCTTAGATTCAAATTGTTAGTGTTATTATTTCCACTATTTAATGTTGGCTAATTATTTTTCTGATTCATCTCATCAGGCATATCTTTAAACTATACATCGTGGACATATATTATTTGTACTGGAATTTGTTCTCTTATTTTCCCCTTTCTTGCCCTTGGTATCTATTTCTGTTTCACTCTTCTCTTTTTCTTTCCACTCTCCAATGTCTTTCTTCCTCTCTAATGTACTTCTCTAGCCTCGCAAATAAACAAGACAAGAAGGGTGCACTCCTACCTCATGACATAATAGAATATCTACTACTGGAAAGTCTAGTAAATGAGAACAAGTCCATCTGCAGAGTGGTAAGTGCCAATATCCCTACTCCCTTACCCTTGAGAGAACAGCTAATGCAGACTTTGGACTGTTTCATAATCAGACCCATATACAGGCTCTGGGAAAAAGCCTCTCCATAGCATAAAACATCAGTGATTATTTCTGACTTGATGGTGATAATGAATATCACATTCTTATAACACTTACAACATCTGTTTTTCTCATTAAATCTTCAAAATAGCTCTGTAAAACTGCACATTTTAACATCATTTTATGGTTAAAAAAATCTAAGGTTGAGTGACTTGCCCAAGGCCATACATCCAAGACATCATATCACCATCACTTTAGTAAAGGACCTTAGTATTTACATCTGTCATTTATCTTAGGAGTAAATTCTGCATATCTCCTAGTAAATCTCATAGTTTCTCTAGTCATGGCAAAGCTTATTATCACTTTTTCTCTTTGAGGGAACCATGATTGGTACCAATGCCCTTAGTGACCCCAAGCTCCTGGGTTTGGTCATTCTAATTTTGTCACAGGAATCCTGTTCAGCAATCAGAATTTTACAAAAGAGGAACCATCAGCACATTATTGAAAGTCTGCGCTGGCTATTAGCAGCCATTGGGGATAAATATGAAAATCTGAATACTGGCCAACAATCACTCACTTCAAGCATCTCGACCTCGAAGAACCCAAGAGGATCTGGGAAAAGATGCTCATCAGACAGGTACTAAGTGTAATCATGAGAATATATGCATAATCAGTCTTTGACATGGGCAAGGAGTTGTGGGTGGTACATAGATTCTGTGCAACATTCAATAAATCTCTCAAGATTAGTACAGTAAGCCTGTATCCTAGCATAATATAAACAATAATATTAGTGAGATGACTTGTATAAAGTTAATGTCAACCTATTGGCATTAGAACTTTTTCAAAACAGGATTTCTATTCCCTTGCATGCCATATGTAGGTGGGGGAGTGGGTTGGATAGATAACCATAGGGCCCTGGCAGAACTTACTGGCAATGTTTTATAGATGAATATCCCGATCCAGTTCTGTGATCCTTCCTATAAGTAAATATGGATAACAATGGTAATATGGAAATAACTGAAAAATAAAAAAGAGGTGACCAAAAACTTTTGAGAATTAAAAGTTCAAAATGTCCTCTTGCTAATGTTCCTTTAATTGTTCACCGGTAGAGAGGAGCAATAGCTGCACTGAATTAAAGAGACTGACTGTATCCATTTTCACTATCATTTATCACTATCCTTTATGTCTCCTACAGATTCTCTACCAGATTTGGATTTGCCAAAGATAAAAGACAACATATGCAGCAATGTTCATCGGAACCTAAACCCCTAAAGCCAATCCTGCAGGTATACAGGTATTGTTGGTAAATGTTATTGAACAAATACCAATCACTGAACTGTGGGCATTAACTTTTTTCTTCCATCTTCTTGCTGAACAGAAAGAAGACTTAAGATTAAGACCTAAGAAAAATATATCAGTAACATTTGATTTGGATGAACCTGTGGAAGAAGGTGAATGTTCTGGGGGTGTGGAAGGGAAGAGCTCAGAATATGGTTGTTTTGCCACAATCAGAATAACTTTCAGACATCAATTCCAGGTACCGCTGATGATACTCTTGAGGTAGTGCTGAATCAGTTAGACAGAGGAAAAACTTATGCATAGATTTTCCCTCAAAGTTTATGAAACAATATTCTTTTGAGTCTGAAACTTTTACTATGGTTGGTGGTCAGAAAAATAAAGAGAAGTGGGATAATACTCAGGGAATACTGTATGATACTTTGGTATAATACTCCAAGCACAAGATACTGTTTGGGTGGCTTTAGGATGTAATTTATTTTTAATTGAATCACTATGAATTACAAAACTACAAAGATATTCATGATTGAGTTACATATATAAAATGTTACAACATCAATCCGTTCACCAGTGCCAATTCCCTCCAACAATGTTCCCAGTTTCCCTCCCACCCCCCAGTCTGCCTCTGTGGCAGGCACATTTACCCTCCACCATTGCCCTAGTGTTACCTTCCCTAACTTTGTGCCACTCCGAAGTAACAGGGTTCCTACTGAAGATGAATTCTCCTGCTCTTCATTTTTATTGCCTTTGGGCACTTGCTATTCTTCTGCCAGAGAACAGAGATCATTCTTAGTCTGTTCCTCTCCTGATGACTGATTTCACGCAAAATGATATTCTACATACTATGTAGCTGTTAGAAAAGATGAAGTCATGAAATTTACATATGAGTGGTACTACATGGAAAGTATCATGTTAAGTGAAATGAGTCAGAAAGAGAGGGGTAGACATAGAAAGATTGCATTCATCTGGGGAACATAAAGTAACAAAATAGGAGACTAACACCCAAGAGTGGCCGAGATTAGTACCAGGAGGTTTGTTCCATGGCCCTTGGAGGGCAGCCACACATGCTAGAGGGAAAGGGAGCTCAGAGAGAGAAGGGAGCACCAAATAAAGGGTGTTGGGAGGATCCTTCCAGGATGGGAGAAGCATGCTGAAAGTAGACTATAGACCAAACATGATTGCCACTCAATGCCTCTTTTGAAAACCACAACACCCGAAAGGAGAGACAACGAAAGGGAATACCCTGCCACGGAGGCAGGGTGGGATGGGGGTGATGGGGGATGGGAGGGATACTGGGACTCGTGGTGGTGGAAAATGGGCACTGGTGGAGGGATGGGTATTTGATCATTGTATAACTGAAATCCAAGCACGAAAATTTGTAATTCTACGACTGTACTTTATGGTGTTTCACTAATAAAAATCAAAAACAAACAAACAAACAAACAAAAACCAAAATGATACTCTACAGATCCATCTGTGTAGGAGCAAACTGCATGACTTCATCCTTTCTTATGGCCAAGTAGTTTTCCATTGTGTATACGTACCATAATTCCTTTATAGGATGTAATTGTAAATGTAAAGATTTCTAGGGTCCATGGAGATAACCCAAAATTATTGAGCACATTTTTGCATGCAGGAACCCTAGCTTATTTCCATGGTGCCACATGGTTCCCTGAATAACGTCAGGAGTGACCCCCAATCTCTGAACTTGGAGTAGCCCCCGAGTACCATGGGCTACAGCCCAAACCTTTCCAGTAAAGGTAATAATTTCCAATGGTGGAAGAATTGCTATGTTAATTGAGAGTAATTTGGCTGTTTGTCTACTTCTTTCTGTGCTTTCCTCAATGTACTGAGAACTTTACAATTGTGGAAACTCTTTGAGACAATGATTCCATTTCATTAACTGTACTCAAATATATTTCACACTACAAAATGGGTGCTCATGGTTGTCTACTGACATCATTATATACAAAAGCTAGAAGCTGAACACAATCTCTATGCCTAATAATGTAGAATAACTAAATAAACTATGGCACATCTACATAATGGAATACTGTGCAGATATTTAAATGGATAATACTTACTTATATTTACTTAAATGGAAAATTTTCCAAAGCCTGATGTTTTGTTAGAGAAAATGACCAGAATAGAGTATTACCACATGATGTGTTACATGCATAAAAGATCCAGAGGAAAATCACCAAAACATTAGTAGTAGTTTTCTCTAGAATCAAATACTAGGGTATTTTAAATAGTGAAAGGCCTAGGTCTAGGTGAGTTTGTATTTTTTTCTATAATCCAGTTTTTTTTAAAAAAATGTACAAAAGTGTGTATTTTAAATTAGAGATATGTTCCCGAGAACAGATGACTGGTTAAAGAAACTTTGGTACATCTACACAATGGAATACTATGCAGCTGTTAGAAAAGATGAAGTCATGAAATTTGCATATAAGTGGATCAACATGGAAAGTATCATGTTAAGTGAAATGAGTAAGAAAGAGAGACAGACATAGAAAGATTACATTCATCTGTGGAATATAAAGTAACAGAATGGAAGACTAACACCCAAGAATAGTAGAAATAAGAACCAGGAAGTTAGCTCCATGTCTTTGAAGCTGGCCTCACATGCTGGGAGAGAGGGCAGCTCAGATAGAGAAGGGAACACCAGGTAAAGGGTGTTTGGAGGACCCTCTCAGGATGGGAAATATGTGCTGAAATTAGACTCCAGGCCAAACACAATGGTCACTCAATACCTCTATTGCAGACCACAACATCCCAAAGGAGAGAGAGAACAAAAGAGAATGCCCTGCCACAGAGGGAGGGTGGAGCGGGGGTGGGATAGGGTGGGGGTGTTGGGAGGGTTACTAGGATTACTGATGGTGGAGAATGGGCACTGGTGGAGGGATGGGTACTCAATCATTGTGTGACTGGAATGCAAGCACAAAAGTTTATAACTCTGTAATTGTATCTCCCAGTGATCCACTAATAAAAAATTCTAAAAAATAAAATAAAATAGAGATATGGATATTTGAAGTCCCATTGATGTTATTGGTGACTTCTCAGGATTCCTTTGGACCCCAATCTCCAAGATCGTCATCTGTCAATAATACTTTCCAAGGAATCTCCAAATGATCTTGGCTGTTCAGGACACTACTGGCCGACCCGAGTTCGATTCCTCCGCCCCTCTCGGAGAGCCCGGCAAGCTACCGAGAGTATCTCGGCCGCACGGCAGAGCCTGGCAAGCTACCCGTGACGTATTCGATATGCCAGACACAGTAACAACAAAGTCTCCAATGGAGACGTTACTGGGCCCACTCGAGCAAATCGATGAACAACAGGAGGGCCTTTACCTTTACCTTTACCTTATTCATGTCAGAAACTACCCCTAAACAGCTGTTCAAAACTGAAATCCACTTTTTGTTTCTATAACCTCAGAACACAGGTCAAAGAAAAGAAGAAACACCTGGTACACAGAAGATATGTTGCCGGAAAATCCTTGTGAATAAGCCTTTCTATCCTGTGGTTAGTATTCCTTGAATGAAGAGGTTAAGGTTGAGAGAACGTAAGAGGGCAGGAGCTTCATGGGGTCCAGTTTTTACTCCCTGGGAAAGTGACCTCTTAACCTGAAGTGATCTAAGAAAGAGAGAAAACCTGATCTTTAACTTTGTTTGCAGTAACTCACTATTTTCTTTCTCTTATTAGACTTCTGATAGAGATCTAAACAGACAAATGGAGCGAAGTCAAAAGGACAACTGATATCTCTTCCTCATTAAATGATTTCAATCCCAGAACCAGCAAGAAAATTCATTTTATTCTACTTGCTAATAACTCTATGTTGATACCTCACAGCCTTCCCATGACCGCACTTACTCTAAGCATTACATCCATAAGCACCCTCACCCATAAATACCCTCATTTTCCTATACATCTCTGCCTAGCCATCACATGAATCCTACACCCTCTTCCTTGTGTATCTTCATTCAATCCATAATATTAATCCTATACCTACAAAGAGACTTAAAAATGGTAGGTGGCATCCATTTGGGAATGAAGACAGCATTGAGGAAGAAAACGAGACTTTGCATCATTGCAGCTAGATGTTTCTGATGAAGCCTGTGTGCATACCATGGGTGAAATCAAGCCTTAGAAATAGAGGGTCAGTTTGGAATGACAGCTCCCCCTTGAGTTCTTGAATGTAAGGGAATGTGGGGATGGTAGGGGAAATGAACAACTTTTCTGCTGACAGTATTGCTCTACTGAATCATTTTTAGTAACTCCCAAACAACTCACTTTTGAATTTCCAGGTGCTGTCTGTGAGACCTCACACTAATTTCTTCCTTGTCTCTTCAGGAACAGTAAATTCTGTCTCTCCTCACACTGGATAGGCATTCAAAAACTGTGGGAGCTTAAATGCATTCAACCCTCAATCCCATAGGTGATAGTGACTGTCGTTACTTACTGTTACTATAACTTTTACCATAAGTAGCACAGGTATTGAGTGCATTCCGAATATTAGATATGGTACAGTGTTCTTCACATTAATTTTCTTATTTACAACAACACTTGGGGTACAGGAATTATACCTGACTATTCTGAACTGTTCAGGAAACTAGGGGAGACAGAAGCTAAATAACTTGCTTGGGTCCCATAACCTGTAAGAAATAGAATAAAAAATTGATCTGACTTTCGATCTACTTTGAGCCAGAAATATTTGGTGATGTTTTCCCCAAACTCTATTCAGAAAAGAAAGATACCTCAAGGGAAAATGCCATGCACATATAATGATAATTGCTTTGATAGTGCACCAATAACAGTAAAGACATAGTTGACTGATTATTTTTACTTTGCAAGGTGTTGGTATAAGTACTATACATACATTATAGTATTTTATCTTCACAAGCCTATGAGGTTAGTTTTATTATAATCATAATGCAGAGGCAGAGAAGGAAAATCATTTGTCCTACTTGGAAGCAGTAAAACTGATTTTTGAACTAAGGTCCAGTTCCATAACTCTTGGTCTTAAACATAGTTTCATTAAGCAGTTAAAAACAAATAGCATGTGACTGTGAGAAATGGAAAACATACACAAAAAGATCAGTTTCCTACCCCATCTGGAGACTCTGATACTATTTAAGGATACATCATTTGCTGTTGTGTATTGCAAAAAGCCTATTTCCAAGGCAACCACTCAAGGCACCTTGTAGGTCCTCAAAAAGATCTGGAGCTTGCCTTATTAGTTAT